AGGGCTTGTCCCAGACAGGGAACACAGCTGACAGGGCCTTCCCGGGCCAGAAGGAGCCTGACTCAGGCAGGGGTGAGGCGGAGGGCGCCCAGGTGGGCCATGTGCTGTGATGGGCGTGGGGTTTCTTAGGGAGGAAAGGGGGGGGCCCGGCAGGCATGGAAGCCAGGACAGACTGGGTCACACCTGCCACTCAAAGAGGTCAGAGTTCATCTTAACGGCCCTGAGGACCTGACCCAACGTTCACTGAACATGGAGGGAAACTGAGGCCCAGGGCCAGGCGTCAGGACTCCCAGGCCCCACGTGCTCTCCGCCCCTCCTGCAGGTGGGCAGGAGGGCTGAAGGATGTGAGGGCCCTTTCCTGCTGCCTCTGGGACAGGCACCTGCTCTGCCTCCTGCTGAGCAGGGTGTGGTGCGGACGCCCCAGGCCCGGGCCTCGTGTCCCAGGCTGGTCCTTCCTTGCTTTGGCTGATCCGGGAGCAAAGTGGTCCCCGCTGGCCCTGCATCGCCCACGCCCCAGCCTGCCCTCCACCTCCTCTGGCAGGAGTAGAACCTGCCGTGGGAGTGGGGGCTCTCTTGGCCTGAGCTCCACCGCTGGTCCCCCCCCGTAGGGCCACAGCTCCAGGGGACTCAGGCACATGAGGCCCCCCGCGGGGCACTGCCGCCTTAGCCCACGGAGTGCACCGCGCTGCCTGGGTGCGGCCCGGCCGGGCAGGCTGACAGGGATGGACGACTCCCGGACCACAGGGGTGGCTCGGGGCCCAGAGCCGGTCAGTCTCTGACCTTGGCCTCCGCCCTCCTCTTGGCGGACCTTGGACCTCAAGGCTCACCCCAGACTGCCGGCCCCCGGGGCCTGAGGCTGCCCCTTGAGGAGCCCTGGTGTGGAGGAGGTGTGTCTATTGCCCTCTGCGTGTCTGTCTGTCTGGCCGGCTGACCACCCGCCCCCCAGGCTGGTCTGGGCCCAGATCAGGCCGCCCACCCAGTGAGAGCTGGGGACAGCAAGGCCTCCTGCTGGGGCCGTGGTGGGGGGGACACCAGGGCCTGGGCTGTGGCTGTGTGTGGCTGGTGGAGCGGCCACGGTGTGGCGTGGGGGCCCCGAGACCACCTCCGGCCTCTGCTCCCGCTGGCTCCCTGATCCTTCTGATCGCCTGCATTGATTTCACCCGCGCTGTTTATTAAACGCTCACTCTCCAGCCACTGAAAGCTCCCAGAACGTGCCTGGCACCCTGCTCAGCCCAGAGGACTGGCCTCGGGGGCCGCTGTCTCCACCAGCCTGACGTCCGCACAGCCTCTGCCTCGGGAACCAGGGCGGGCGTGGGCGGCTTGGCCTGGCGTGGGCAGGTGCCAGGCCCACAGAGGGGCCGATGGAAATGAGCCTAGAGATGCCCATCCTTGGGGCGCGACCAGGGTGCGGCAAGGGTCAGGGCTCTGGGCCAGGGTGCAAGCGGGCCCAGGGTGCTGAGAGGGCTAGAACGTACTTCGAGAGTTCCTGGCCCACGGCAGGAGCCCTGCACACAGCAGTACACCCCCCCCCCGCCCCTGTCCCCTCTGCCCTGCCAACCTGGAAGGCCCCTTTGAGGGATGGGCCTGTGACTCTGGGCCCCACCCTGGTCTCAGGGGAGGCTCGGCTGTTAGTCCTAGTCCCTGGCCGGGCAACCTCAGGCAGGGCGCATCGCTGCTCAGAGCCTGTGTCTGCAGCTTGGGGACGACTCTGTAGTTATCGTCACAAGGGCGGAGGACAGGGAGGGAAGTGAGCTTGGCCAGGACCACCGCTTCACCCAGCTTCACTCTGCAGGGCCCTGGAAGGCCCAGGGGTTCCCCACCTGGGCCACCCCAGTCCTGGGGGTGGGGGGTGTCCAGGAGCACAGGCCTCTCTCCCCGCCCTGCGTCCCTCCTGCCCACCCCCAGCGGTGTCAGGAAAACCTGCCACTGACACCTGCTTCTCACCCGGAGAGCTGTGAGAACCAGCGGATGGAAATAGCCTGAAAACCACCCCAACCTCCTGCTCCCCAGGACTGTGCAGGGCCGCTCGGGTTACATAAGCCCTGGGGCGGCGTCCTGGGGAGCAGGCTGAGGACTCACAGCCCCCCCCACCGGCCAGGAGAAAGGCTGGGTGCACCGGGTCTCGGGGCAGGAGCCTGGTCGCTGGAGGCTGGGAGGGGCCTCAGGACAAGGTGGGACGGAGAATTCTTCAGAGCACACAGTCCTGAGTCCGCCTCCTCCCACAGCCCCCCTGGGTTCCACCCACGGGGACCTGCTCCATGGCCTCGACCAGGGCCTTCCCTCTCTGAGCCTTTGTCGTAAAGCACAGCACACATGCTCAGAGGGGACAGGGCAGCCGTGGCCACAGAGGTGGACGCGAAGAGTCCGGAGCAGGACTGGCTCAGCGTGTGCCCAGGGCCAGTGATTAATGGCTTCAAAGTCACTTAGAGGTCAGGGCTGAGTCCAGGACTGTGGTCAGGGATTGATTGGCTTCCATCCATGAAGAGGTGACAAGGTCAAGCTCCTTCTCTAACTGAGTGACCAGGTCCTAGGACCTGATATCCAGCTAGATCCGGTGGGCCCAGCAGGGGACCGTCCATTTTCCCTGCCCATAGAAGTCCACCCCAGGTTTCTTCAAGCCCAGGCCAGACCCTGGATTTGCCAGGCAGGTGGCACAGCGGTGAGGGTCAAGGTTTGAACCAGGGTCGGGGGTTGAGGGGCTGGGTGTAAATTGGTAGAAGTCTCAGGAAAAGGGAACCTGGGACCAGGGTTCTCGAACCCTGGCATATCTGGAGCCCTCCGGAACCTTTAAGTCACAATGCTCCGGTACCAGTGGGGAACCGAGGCTTTGCCCCGCTGCGCTCACTGGCCCCCGGCACTCAGCTGGGAGCTGAGGGTGGGGTCATCGGGCCAAACCCCCAGTCTGTTCAGGGAGCAGCTGACTCCTCCCCCTCTTCAGGGAGGGGCTTGGAGGCAGGGATGCTCTGCCTCTCCGACAAAGGTTCTGGACCAGGAACTGGGGCAAGGGGACAGTTTTGTAAAAGAGGCAGGTCAGGAGGGAGATGAGGGGGAGATGAGGAGTCTCCGGGGCAGGGAGGAGGAAGGCATAGCCCTGCTGAGAGGTCCCACTGGTGGGAGACTCCGCCTTGCCGTGGGCGGGCCGATTGGAGGGGCCGCAGCCTCGCCGAGGCCCAGAGCAGAGAAGCCGGGGATGGCGGCTCCCCACCCCCACAGCAGCATCTAAACCCTGACTCAGAGCCCGCACCCTGTGCGCAGCCTCGTGGCCTGACATCAGAGGCCCCCTGGTGGCCACCGGCTGCCAGTGCGGCCAGGAGGCCAGACGGGGAGGGCAGCTGAGTGGGCCCTGGGCCCTGGGCCCTGGAAGGGTGGGCAAGTACCCCCTCCACGCCCCCTTCCAGACTCGGAGAAGAAAACCCTCATCCTGGAGGGAGCCAGTGGGAGGAAGAAGGCTGCCCGGGGGTGAGAGTGGGAAGGGGGCCCTCCCCTGCTCCGTGGCCCTTCTGACCAGCCCCTCAGGACACCCACCGCTCCAGGCCCAGGCCTCCAGCTGGCTTGCCAGGGAGGCTCCAATGCAGGCCCACCTGACGAGCTGCCCAGGTGCCTGAGCACTGGGGCGACTTGGTCTCCCGCCCCTTCACCCGCCGTGGGGGGCTGGTGCCCGGTGGGGCACTGACCATGGTGGGGGTGGGGTGGTGAGGGTGTGGCATGGGGGTTGGGGGTTCCAGCGACAGGCAAGGGGAGACGGAATGCAGGTGAAAGCTTGGGTTCAGGCTGAGGGTGGTGACAGTGAGCGTGAGCTGACGTTTCACAGTGACAGTGGTGGCACCCGATGGCGCCTCCTGCTGAGTCTACCGAGAAAAGCCAGCAGCGGGGGCAGAGGTGGGGCCCAGGCAGTGGAGGCCTTGGTGGGCTGCTGAGCCGAGTGTGGGACGTGCGGGCTCTCCAGGCCGGGCGGACTGGGTCCTGTGTTCACGGTGGACCACACGTCGTGGGAAGGAAGCAGGGGCTGGAGGCGGAAGCCCCGCGGCAGGGGAGCAGCCTGCAGAGCTTCCCTGAGGCCGTGCCTTCCCGGTTCCGGACCCCATCCCGGAGCGGCCCTCAAAAGAAGACGGCCTGTGGGTGCTTTCGGGGGGACCAAGCAGCTAGAGGGCCCTCTCCATCAGCTTGGGGAAAACCACACGTGGGGCTGGGTGTCCCCACGGTCACCAAGTCAAAGAGGATGACCACTGGAGCACGGGAAACGAGGATGACTGAGGCTCCTCTGCCCGGAGGTGGGACTGGGCTAACCCAACTTGGGCCGCTCCAGTGGGCCCTTCCCACCCCAGCCCCCCGACCCTCCTGGACGGGCTCCACCGCTGTGACGCACTGGCCCCCACTGGCCGGCACCCGCTTGACCTCCCACCTGCTCCTCCAGCGCCGCCCACCCCTTCCTTCCACCTGCCCAGCGGCCCTAGCCCTCCATGCCTGCGCCCCTTACCACCGCCTGTCCTGTCCATCCTCACTGCCACTTTCCTCCGCCCCCCTCTCCCACACTAACCCAACACCCTGCCCCTCTCTCCAGGCACCTGTCCGTTCTGTCCATCCATCCATCCATCCATCCATCCCCCCAACACCTCCTCCATCCACACCCACTTACCTCATCCATCCTTCCACCCATCCCTTCCTTCTATGCACGCTTATGTGCGACTTCTGTCCTTCCCTCCACCCGTCGGCATCTGTCCGTCCGGACACCCCCCACCCACCCCTCCGCCAGGCCGTCCATCCATCATCCAGCCAACAAGCAGCCTGTCCTCAGCTTCTGGAAGAGGCAGCGAGCAGAGCCCCAACTCCTGGCGTTCCTGCTGCCTGGGGCAGGAGCCGGGCTCTCCTCGGCGTGCGCGCGTGTGTGCATTTTATCGCCCCCCCCCTTATCTCGCTCCCCTCCCCCACACCCCGCCCCCCGCTCGCGCTCCCCTCTAACGTGTGATCTGGAAGCTCTATAAAGCCTGATGTAATCCGTAATGCGGTCTCTGGCTCCCGATTCGGGATCCAGTTTCAGAGAGCGAGAGAGTGGGGAGCGCCGGCAGCCCGGTGGGGGAAGCAGCTTGCCTCTCTCCTCCTCCTGCTCCCGGTCCTCGGCTTCCTCCTCCTCCAGCCCGCGCCGCCCCGCCCCCGGCTCGGCTCGGCTCGCCCCCCCCCCCCCAGGAAGGGGAAAAAAGGCGAGAAGAGCGGCGCGGCGGCGGCCGGAGAGGGAGCGGCGGGCGCAGGCGGCGGCGGGCGCGGCGTTGGCGGCGGCCCCGGCGGAGCGAGGGCAGCACCGGCGAGCCGGGAACACAGGCGGCCGCGCGGCGTCCTGGCCGGGCCCGCGCGCTCCGCATCGCCCGCAACCCGGGCGTCCGACCTCCCCGGCGTCCGAGGGGCTCCGGCAGGCTGGGGGAGGGGAGGGGGCCTGCGCGCGCTGGCGGGGGCGCTCCGGGGTCGTCCGGCTAGGCCTGGAGCCGGCCGGGGGCGGCGGGGACAGGAGGAGCCCCCCCTCCGGTCGGGCGCCCGGCTCGGCCGCCAGCGACAAGGGGCGCTCCCGGGTATTCGCAACTCGCCGGATCCAGTGCTCGTCCGCGGGGCCGCTGCTGCTGGGCAAGGTAAGGAAGGCTCCGGCCGCGGGCTGGGGGCGCGGCGGGAGGGGGCGCAGCGAGGGCGGGGGGCCGGGGGAGGGGCCGGCGCCCGGACTTGGTAACTTCGCCGTTTGGGGCTCAGAGCTCTGAGGTTTGCGTTCGGAGCTCAGGAGTTTGGACCCCCGGACCCCGGCCTCCGGCCTCCTCCAGCGGCAGCGACGGGGTCTGGCAGATCCCCGAGCGCCCGCATCGGGCTGGCTGAGGAGGGGGCGACTCTGGACGTGGGGGAGGCCCTTCGCGCGGCTCACCTCCCCCAGTCCGCACGCGCCGAGCCTCTGGGCCGGGGGAGGTGCCCCTTCCCACGGCGTGCACAGACCCGGGGCAGGCAGGGGAAGGCGTTCCCGCTGTGTCCCCGACACGGACAGACGCTAGCAGGATGGGGTCTTTGAGAGCCCCACATGTGACCCCCCAACAGCCGCACATAGACCCATGTAGGCTGGGGAGAGAGAGACACCCCAGTGTGTCCCCCTCTCCCTGATCGCACCCAGAGCCCCCTGCGGACGTTCCGGGCCCGGAGTCCTTCCCCCACACTCCGAGCCGGGGGCGTGCACCAGAAGCCCTCGCCCATGGACCCGGCCTTGGCAGCCCCCTCCGGAGACTCCCCGGAGGTTCTCTGGTCCCCAAACAGCGCCCCCGTTCCCAAACACACAGACGCCCTGGCTGTTCCCTTGTCGCCTTCTTCTCCACTTGGTCGGACAGGCCGCGCGGATAAGCCGCCTCGAACTTTGGGTCCGCCCTGTGCCCTCTCGGCGCGAAGCAGCGAGGCCAGGCGCGGGTTGGCCCCGGTTCTCAGCGAGCGGAGGCCGCTGGCCCTCCGCGGCCGCGGCGCTCGCTTGGAGCCTCCTGGGTCCCCCTGGAGGAACAGTCACAGCCCCCGCCGCCTCCGGGAGGAGCGGGGGCTCTGGTGTGTCCAGGCGCCCTTTCCCCAGTCCCTGCGGCCCCCTGGGCAGGGCAGAGCGCGTCTGGGGCCTGCCTCGGGAGGGGGCGGCGTAGCTGAAAACCGCTCGTCTGAGGCTGCGTCTCCGAGCCCGGGTCCCTCTGCCGGGCCTCGGCGGCTCCTGCTGGGTCGCTTCCCAGGCCGCCGGAGAGAGCGCCCAGCCTGGCACCCAGATCCTGGGCGCGGGGCACCTGTCCTTTGCCACTTTTATTTTGGGCTTCCAAGTTTCCTGGAGCGCAGGGACCCGGGCTGGGAGAGGACGAGCCCTCGTTCCCCTCCGCCCCAGCGCCTTTGCTGCCGCGCGTTCTCCATCACGTCCCGGTCCCCCGGGCCTGGGCCGAGGGTTCCTTAGCGCCAACTCCGGACTAGTTGAAAGGCGTGAACCGGTGTAGGTGGGCAGGGGGCGCGAATCCCCACCCCCACTCCCGGGAGCTAGTGGGCATACGTGTTGGCGAGGGTGCGGAGAGGTCCGCGTTCCCACCCCACCTTGGGGACCCCAGGACACCCTGGGCACCCTCCCCACAGACACAAACATTCGCCCCCCTCGGTGCAAGAGCCTCTGAGGGGAACAGGCAGCGACCGCGCGAGCGGGAGGCGTAGGGGGCGGATGCGGGGCTGGGGTCCCTTTGAACGTCTCCGAGGTGTATGGGGTCTGGGGAGGTGGGCACAGCTCTGTCTTCTAGAACCCTGAAGCCTTCGCGTTCTTCCCAGATCCTCGCAGCCAAGGAGGCAGCGAGGGAGGTGGAGGGAGGAAGCCGCTCCCTGTCGACCGCAGGCGGCAGCGAAACTCAGCGCCCGGACGCCCGGGTGCCGCCGCGTTCGGCTTTGAGCACCGGAGCAAGGTCAAGCCAGCGAAAGAGGGGACGGGCTCCTGGGCGCGGCTCTGCCCGCGTGGAGTCGGAGCTTTAGGAGCCGCTGTGAGCGGTCTGCGGAGCGAGCCCCCGGCGCCTGCCGCCCGCGCCAGGTCCCCGGAGGCGGACGTTGCGCGCGTTCGGGGATTCCGGGGCGCTCTGCGCGGTTCCGGCGTCCTCGCCGCGTTCGCCTGCCGCTCCTCCGCGCCGCTTTCCGACTTGTTGCGCCTAGATTTGGGGGCTCCGGGCCTGGGAGCCCTGAAGCCCGGGCAGCTGGGGCCGAGCCCGGAAGCCGGCGAGAATGCGCCAAGGCTGCGCGAGGCTACGCGGGCGGGCGCGGCGCTGGGGGCTGGAGCGGGGAGTGTGCTGCCTGCGACCCTGGAGAAAGGTGCCTGTCACCTTCGCGCTCCGGAACGGGGGCGGAAAAGGCGATTCGTCGCCCTGGGAGTACCGCCGGACCCCGGGCAGGGGAGGGGCGCAACCAAGTCGCCGAGCCCCCCTAGTCCCTTCCCTCGTCCACAGCCCTCGGCGCCTCGCGGGCCTTGGCGGTAGCGTTTGTGAAATGGGGGCGCGGGTTGTGCTCTGGGAGCCCTCCCGGCCCAGCCCCCGTCCCGGGATCCACGGTGCTGGGTCCGCAGTGTGCCGGGTCTGCGGCGTCCCGCAGGCCGGGTCCCGAGGCAGACCGGCGCCTGCGGACACGGCCGCGGGTTCCGGGAGGAGGCGGCTCCCGGAGGGTCGGGCGAGTGGCCCGGGCGCCGCACCCTCTCCTGGCGCTCTCGCCCCCTAGCCCTCCAGCCGGCCCCGCCCCCCCTCCGGGTCCCGGGGCCCCGGGCCCGCCCCCTGGGGACGCCTCCGGCTCGGGCCCGGGCTCCCCGAGCCTGGCTGCGGTGGCGGACCGCGGAGGGCAGCGCGCTGCGGCGAGCGGCCGGGAGAGGGCGCGCGCGCCCACCCGCCGCCCTGCCGGCCTCTTCCGCCGCCTCCGCGGCCGCGGCGCCAGCCAGGTCCTGGGCAGCCCCTGGGCGCCTCGCCGGCCTCTGCGCTCCCCCACCAGCGCCATTCGCTGGCGACTCAGCCCGAGCCCCAGGCACTTGTCTCTCCCCAAACTCGTTTGGCCCCCTGCCCTGTGCACAGGCGTGAGCGAGCGCGTTTGTGTACAAGGGCGCGTGTGTGCACGGGTGCCACTCACGCACGTGCTCGTCCAGCCGGCGTGTGTGCAGGCATGAAACTGCCACCGGCGTGCGCGGCGCGGTGTGGGTCCTCTGTACCCGCCCCCACTTCCCTCGTGGGCAGGTGCTGTGTCTGGGAGCAAGCTTCTCAGCCCCCGGCCTGGAGGGTCGCTGACCCCCGCCGTGCCCACTGTCCTCTGCCCCCTGCTGCCTCGCCCCAGTCTCCCGGCTGCTGCAGCAGGTAGTGCAGAGGCCGGTTTTCTGGGTAGACGCGGAGTGCCCCGGCCCATGCGCACAGACCACATACACACTGAACGTGTGGGTGCCTGTGTGTACACACTCACACGGGGAAAACTGAGGGCGTGCCCCCCCCCCACCAAGGCCAGAGGGCATGCAGGAGGACAGAGGCCCTGGTAAGCTCTGGGCTTGGGCTCTGGAGTGGAGGACAGCAGCCCGCAGGAGCCCAGAGATGGGGCTCCCCTGATGCTTCCAGAGGCTGGGCAAGGGGTGGTGGAGGGCCAGAGGTTCTCTGTGGAGACAACAGCCATGCAAAGGGCCTGTGGCAGGTGATCCTGGAGGCATGAGCACCAGACAGGCGACTGAGAGGAGAGTGACTAGGAGGACAGAGGGAGCGGCCCCAGACCTGAGCGTCCTGCAGGCCCCTGGCCACGTCCTGGAGGGCTGGGGCCACGGGGGCGTCTGCAACGGGGGTGCTGATGTGGCCTGATGGACACAACAAAGCGATAGCGCTCCAGGCAGCAGGGGAGGCAGGGGAGGCAGGGTGCACAGGGGGCGGCCCCACCCACCCCAGCAGGTCCGGGCCGCCGTCCTGGCCCCCACGCCGTCCGTGTGGCCTATGAGCAGAAATGCGGGGCAACCCACATTCCCCACAGCAAAGGAGGCCCAGCCCAGAAGCCCCTGTGCCTGGGATGTGGGCCCCTGCAGGGTCCACACCCTGGGAACAGTCGGGGAGGGGAGCCCCTCCTCCCCTGCCATGGAGAGTTCCGGGGAAGTGAGGCCCCGTGGGGCGTGAGCTTCATGGGGAGCTGATGCCTGATCTCCACACAGTGCTGGTGACAGGGGCAGGGACCCCTGTCCCCCAGCAGACCCTAGGACGTGACAGCTCCCTGGCCCCTCAGCCTCCTAGACCTTGTGCTGGGGACACAGTGTCCTATCTTTGGGTGTGGCAGGACCAGAGTGGGGGTAACCCAGAGCCGCTAGGAGGGACGATTCCTGTCCTGCTCTGTGTCCCTGCCTCCCCTTCCATATTAGCCCCTTACTAGTGACAGGCGACGAGTGGTGGGAACAGCACCGAAGGGCCCGAGCGCAAAGTGGCCCCCCCACCCCAGGCCGCAGGTCCCTGCACCCTGTGGAGCCAGTGTGCAGGCCACTGTCCTTCCAGAGTGCTCTGTGCCTCCCCACACGCGTCCTGTGCGTTTGTCCTGCAGGTGGCTTCGACAGACGGGTGTTCCAGGGGCCCAGGGGCACCTGGCTCGCCCACCCTCACCCCCACCCCCCACGGCCCCCCAAGACCCAGAGCCCCAGGGAGTCATGCAGGAGCCACCCTGCTCCTGACAAGGTGACTTTGACTGGCAGTCCCTGCGAAGGGTGTCCCTGAACCGTGAAGTGCTGGGTGGCAGGGGTTGGGGATGTGGGGGCAGGTCTTGGTGAGGACCCGGGTCGGCTGGGGGACATCGTGTCCCCCCTAGAGGAATGTGTGGAACCTGAGTGCAAAGGAGCAGTGAGGGAGAGCAGGCTGGCCACTGGCTCCTCCTCAGCCCTGGGTGTCCCAGCCCCACCCAAAGGCCCTGCCTCCCTCTGTCCACAGCACACACTCGGGGGCATGGCCACTGGACATGTGCACCATCCTCAGTACCAGCCTGTCTCAGACCAGGGCCCAGGCTGTCCAGCCCTGGGCCACAGGTCACTCATGCCGCCTGCTCAGGCTGGGCGCTGAGGGGCACAGGGGGGTTGTGACCCTGAGCCCCAGCCCCACACTCCGTTCTGTTGACCTGCCCCCCTCGGCTCCGCTGTCCCAGACAGAGGGCGGTGAGCACCCCGTGGGCATCAGGGGAGACCCAGGGCGGGGCCTGCTCTGCTGGGCACGGCCTCCAGTGGGAGGTCAGCCCCACTGAGCACTAGCCTGCCCTGCCTCCCCTGGGGACTGGTCAGCCCTGCTGCAGCCATGTGGGGGCGGGAGGGTGGACGTCAGGGGCTGGGACACACAGCGGGGCTGTGCCAGCACCTCTCCAGTCTCTACCCTGCACCGGGACTCTGGGCAGCCCCGGGGCTTGGCTGTGCACCTGATGCTGTGACCTTGGGCAGGTGACCTTGGAGGATCCCCTCCTGCTGGGGATCTCAGGTCCTGGCGTGGCATGGAGTGTGGAGGGGGCGTTGCTCCTGGGCCAAGGGCAGGACGGCACAGCCACAGGGCCTGGGTCTCCGGGCACAGGGCGCACTCTAGGCGCTGAGAAGGGACAGTGAGAGGAGAGGATGGCGGCGTGTGTCTCGCCCAGACTTCCAGGAGCCTCCCCTCCTCATGAGGGTCCCCCACCCTACAGGGAGGCCCTGTGCCTGGGACAGACTCTATCACTGTCCTCACTGGGAGGGGGAAGAGCTCTTCTTTGCAGAAGAGCACGCCTGTAAGCATGTGTACACGCGTGTGCATGTCGGGGTGCAGTGGGAGCACACGGGGGGCACATTCACTCGGGAAGCTCTGCAGGTTCAGGTGAGGCAGCTGCCTGTTCTAGAGGGGGCGTGGCCTGGCCGGGCAGCCCAGGGGGGACACACAGGAAGCGAAGGCTCAGGACCCCGAGTGCGTGGAGCATCTTCCGGGCCTGCGGCCAAGAGGCCGGGCCGAGAGGGTCCCAGCCCAGAGGAGGTGTGATGAGGCCCGGGGCCTCTGCAGCCCCTCAGAGAGCTTCCCATTGGCCCCACGGGGGACGAAGGGTGATTGTCTCTGGCTCCAAGGTTACCTGGAGATTCTCCGTCTCCTCGTGACATGCAGGTGACATCCCCCTGGCCCTTTGCAGGCAGGGGAGCAGGTGTGTATGGGGTGGCCCCCCGCACAGCCGGAACAGAGTGACGCACCTCCCCTGCCCCTGGCCACATGGGTCTTTTTGAGGTCTCCCCTCAGGAGGTCCCACTAGGTCCCCCCAGTGTCCCCGGAGCCCAGGCAGGTGGGCAGAAAGACAGGAGGAGGAGGAGCCCTCCCAAGGGACAGGCCAGGTGTGCTTTTCAGGAGCAGGGCCCTGAGGGCCACCCAGCCCCACCTGGGCACCCCTCCCAGCTCTAGGAGGCGCCTCCCTGGTCGGCCCGTGTTCTTCCCTCAGGGCCAGCCCAGGATGTCCCATGGGTCAGCCGGGTGGCCCTGTAGCCTGGTCGGCCAGGACTGGGGAAGTGAGGCAGTCTACCCGGGGCCTACCTGGCTCTGTGCCCCTGGAGGGAGGCCTGCGGGGCTCTGTTGACCCCTCATGGTGGTCCCAAGCCCCTGCAACCACTTCCTAGACGGGTGGTCCCGGGCCTGCCCTGCCCGCCCCCCCCCCCCGTGACTGCGCTGCCTGACCTGCCACAGCCCGGGGGGCATCTGTGTGGCCTACGGGGCATCCGAGCCAGGTCTCAGGGCACAGGCTGCCTCAGGCTGGGGTGGTCGGGCCCCTGGGCTGCCTCTCCCGCTGTGCTCCCAGCCCCCGCCCGCCAGGCCCCGAGCTGTCCTCAGTGACTCGGTGCCCACCCCGCCCTTCCCCCAGCGCAGCCTCTTCCCAGGACACACAGGCGGGCACTGTTCAGAGGGCCGGCCAGGACCACAGAGTGCCTTTTGTGGCTGGCGTCTGGGGACGCCGTTGGCGGCCCAGGGTGGGCGGGGAGGGGATGGGGAGGCTGGGCCCGGGGAGGAGGGCCAGGCGGTGTGGGTGAGGGGAGGCCAGCGCCCAGCTCCCGCCCTAGTCGGCAGGGAAACCGAGGCACCAGGGCTCTGATTGGCATCGCCGGGCTGTCTCTGGTGGCCGTCCCCATGCCTGCCCCAGGGGCTCCTCGCCCTTCACGAGGCCACCTTGCAGGGACTGGGTAGAGCTGGCCACAGGGGTGGGGACTGGACACAGTGTGGCCCTGAGAAGGTGGCAGGAACAACAGGGTCCCCAGGCAGCTTGAAGGATAATTGGCCCCTGGGCTTAGGAGCCCAGGACGACAGTGGCTTTGAGGACCAAGGCCGGGCTGTGGGGAGCCAGGTCCCACACGGTCACCGTGAGGGACCTGCCAGAGAGGAGTGACCAGCGACCTCACGGACCCCAGCTCTGGGGTCAGCCCCCACCAGCCCCACACCTTTGCCAGCAGGCTCGGGGCGTTCTGACCCCCGTGGGTGCTGGGAGCTGGGAGTGGCCGCGGGGAGGGTGTGAGCCGGCCTGCTGCTCCGCCCAGCCTGCTCCGCGGGCCCTGCTGTTGCTCCTCGCTCTCCCGCCTGGCCAGCAGGTCTCCCTTACCTGCCCCCTGCCGACAGGGCCCCTCTTCCAGCCCTGGCCCCACCGTCCCCCACAGCCCAGCCCAGAGCACAGCACTTGGCGCTCCGCCTGCAGAGTGCCCCGGACACGCAGGCACACGCGCGTGCACGCAGACACAGGAAAGTCCTGGCCGGGCCGTGGTGCTCGGACGTGCAGCTGGGCCAGCCCCACAGCAGCTCAGTTGCCCTGAGACTGTGCAACTAAGTCAGCAACCTCCGGCGGGGCCCGCACCTGGCCTCCGTGCCTCGGCTCCCCTCCCCACCCTGGCTCCCTGGTGGCCCGTGGGGGGTCCCCCCGTGGGACCCAGGGGCTCTAAGGAACCCTGAGTGAGGACCCCACGAGGGGACACCTCCGGCTGCCTTCCGGCCCCAGGAGTCTATCGAAGGCTCACTCCAGAGCCTGGGTCCTGGAACATGGCTGCTGGGAAGGGCTCCGGCCTCTGCCCTGCCCCTGACCCCCTCCCCCTGGCCCCTCCCTCCTCCTCAGTGTCCAGGCCAGGGACATCCCCTCCATGTCTGTCCCACAGCCCAGCGGGCCACCCGGGCCTCTCTTCATCTCCTGAGCACCCTCCCCCTGCCACCACCCAGCTCCACCATGCTCCCCTCACCTGTCCCCCCCAGCTGCCAGGCTGGCCTTCCAAGGGGTGCTTCTGAATGGGGCACTGTCCTGTTTCTGACCCTCGCTGCCACCTCGTGACTGCTGCACAGGACGCTGGGTGGTCCCCAAGTACTGAGGAGCCCAGCGAGCCGTTGCCCGGAGGCCGCCCCGCTGTGATTGGTGCTTCTGCCAGACTCTGTGCCTGCCCACCTAGGGCTGCATGCGGTCCCTGGGCCTGCGGCCGCCAGGGAGAGTCCTGGGGCTGGGGCTCCAGCCGGTGGCGTGTCGGGTCCCAGCCTGGACCACGGAGGGCGCTGCAGCCCAGCTGGCTGAAGGGCCTCCCGGGTCTGGGACGGGCTGTGGGACCCTGGCCCAGGCCTCGTGGTCCCCATACTTCAGTGGGCAGTCAGGGCAAGGTCACTCTGCTATAGCAATGCCAAAAGCTGTCCCCTACAAGCGGGAGGGACAAGGTGGGGGCCGAGTGAGACACGAGCAGGACAGTGTGCGAGCTTCCTTCCCGGGGCGCCAGAGCCTCACCACTGAAGAGCAGCCGGAGGGCCGGGTGGCCACGCTGTCCCAGGACCAGAGCCCCAGCCCCCTGCCCCCCACCCCTGGCTGCAGTTAGTCCCAGGTCCAGTGCTTACCTCTGCCGCAAGCCCGGCTTCACCCCCATCTGACAGTCGGGGAAACTGAGGTGGGGCTTGCCCAAGGCCACACAGCTATGAGGGGCATCCGGAGTCCAGGCCGGTGCCAGCTCCCCTCTCCGTCTCCAAGGCCCACGGGGGAGGGACGCCAGGAGGGGACTGCAGAGCAGTGACCGACCTTGTGTCTCCGGCCAGCTGGGCCCCGGCGGCAGGAAGCGGCGACTCCCCGTGGGCGGGCTGCGGCGTGTGTCCGCTCAGAAGAGCGGAGGCGCGGGCACCAGGAGGCCGGCGGGCCCCGGGGGGCCGACTGCCACTCTCTCTCCCTCGCCCACCCTCTCAGCTGCTGCACGGGGCCGACGACCCAGCCAAGGGTTCTGGGGACAGTGGGGCAGGTGGGCTTGGAGGCAGAAGGGACCTGCCAGGGGCACAAGCTCCTGGGGACAGGGCGGGGCAGAGTGAGCGGGGCCGGCTCCCACACCCGGGACGGCTCCTCCGTGTCCTGGTGCCCGTGTGCCGGGGCAGCCTTCCTGTCCACGGGCGATGCCAGCAGCACGTGGTCAGGCTCGGTCTGGGTTCCCGCGTGGGCTCTCCTGCCCCTACATGGTGCCCTTGGTAAGTCACTTACCCCTCCCAGCCTTGGTGTCCCCTTGTGGAATGGGGGACGGGTAACAGCGCCAGCCGGAAAAAGGAGGAAGCAAGGCGTCCATGCAGGGCGCTGGACGCAGGTGGTGCTGGTGACTCCCTGTCCTCAGCCCTCCCTACCTGGAACTGCAGGGCCCCAGGGGCCACTGGGTCCCCAGCTCTGAGGACAGAGGACAAGGAGCTGAGAGACAGCAGTGACGGCTGGGCCGGGGAGCACAGGAGGGTATGGGTGGGTGTCAGGTGCAGCTCCGGACTGGGGTCCGACCCCTGACTTCTCGAAGAACCGGCCACTCCTGCTGCGAGGAGGGGGGGGTGGGAGGAAGCGCTGCACCCTCACCCTGGGTGAGAGTCTGGGGGAGACCCTCCTCCTCTGCTCCCCACACCCCATGGCCCTTCTTGCCGGCTGCGCAGGGTGAGGAGGAGGAGGTCAGGGAGGCAGGAGACAGAGGTGGGGGTGGCCGGGAGAGGGAGACAGGGCCCCACTGCAGGTTCACAGACAGCCATGGAGGGCCGGGCTGACGGGTGGCCACTGTGGCTGTGACGGGGAGAGTGGGCAGGCAGCAGCCCCAGGGCCCTCAGGAGCCACGCTGGGCCACTGGCCAGACGGGCACAGCTGGGGCCCCTGTGGCACTCGGCCCTGGCCAGACGCTGCCCACCACGCCCTGCTCAGGGCTGGGTGGAGGAGGATCTCCTATCCCCTTGGCCGGGCCGGGCCCCTGCCCCTGCAGGCGGACGCACTGGTGGGTGGCAGATGGACAGGTAAACAGAGCAGGTGCCTGGGAGCGGTGCCAGGCCTGCGTCAGCTGTCCAAAGCCCAGGTGGGCACTGGCCTGGCCGTGCCCTCAGCCCCAGGTCCCCTGGGCTCACACCACCCCCCTCTGCCCTTTCTCTTCCAGCTGCTGCTGCCGGTGGGCAGGCACCAGGGCCCTGTGCCTTAGGGGCCACTGTCGCCCTCTCCATCGTCCTCTGAAGGCCTCTCCTCCCGCCCTCACTGGGAGCCGCTGCCCCGGCCCCCAGCCTAGTCTGCTTGCTGCCAGACCCTGGCATGTCCAGGCCTGGCCCACGCCTGCCGCCTGCCCAGCCCGCGGAACCCTGGTGGCCCCGCGAGCTAGGATGAGGGGCCAGGCCGCCACCCCAGGTCCCCACTGGATCCTCGGCCCGCTGTTCCTGCTGCTGCTGCTGGGGTGCTGCACCCTGGCGGCCATGGGGGCCGACGCGGGGCCAGGGGCGGAGCTGTGCACCACGCTGGTGCAGGGCAAGTTCTTCGGGTACTTCTCCGCGGCCGCCGTGTTCCCGGCCAATGCCTCTCGCTGCTCCTGGACCCTGCGCAACCCGGACCCGCGGCGCTACACGCTGTACATGAAGGTGGCCAAGGCGCCGACACCCTGCAGCGGCCCTGCCCGCGTCCGCACCTACCAGTTCGACTCCTTCCTGGAGTCCACGCGCACCTACCTGGGCGTGGAGAGCTTTGACGAGGTGCTGAGGCTCTGCGACCCCTCCGCGCCCCTGGCCTTCCTGCAGGCCAGCAAGCAGTTCCTGCAGATGCACCGCCAGCAGCCACCACGGGATGGTGCCACCGGGCCCCCGGGAGACGACTTCTCCGTGGAGTACCTGGTCGTGGGCAACCGCAACCCCAGCCGGGCCGCCTGCCAGATGCTGTGCCGCTGGCTGGACGCCTGTCTGGCCGGCAGCCGCAGCTCGCACCCGTGTGGCATCATGCAGACGCCCTGTGCCTGCCTGGACGGGGACCTCGGCCACCCTGCCTCTGGCCCCTTGGCCCCCCGTGGCGACGTCTGTCTGAGGGACGGAGTGGCAGGTGGCCCTGAGAACTGCCTCACCAGCCTGACCCAGGACCAGGGCAGGGATGGCGCCCCAGGTGAGTGATGGGCCAGGGGAGGCCCGGAGGAGGCTCTCTGGGCAGAGGGCGGGGGAAGGGTCTTTTCTGCAGGGCTGTCCTGGCCACTGAGCACACAGCCAGGGAAGCCAGTGGTGGCCTGTCAGGCTGCCGGGCCAGTGCCCTGCGCGTGGGGGTGCTCGTGAGCTCGGCGAACGGGTGAAGGAGGGAACGAGGGGCCTGGTTGCTGCCAGGGAGGGAGTTTTAAGCTTCTCGCAGGGAGGGTCCTTCCTTCTTCGAAAGCAGGCTGGTCTCACGGGCCAGCAGGCTGCTGGGGCTGGCAGCCGCAGTCCGAGGGGCCACTGGGGTGGGGGCGGCGTGGAGAAAGCGTGAGCAGAGAGTGGGCTGTTGGGAGAGGTGGTCTGGAGGTGAGATTTGGGGGTGAGTGTAGCATGGCCATAAAAGTCCTCTACACTGCCACAGCATCTTGGGTACAGCAGTGAGGACAGGTCTCTGGTGCTGGAGGTCAGGGGTTGCTTGGACCAGGGGCCAAGTTCAAGGATCTGGGAGAGGTGCGGGAGAGCTCCAGGGCGCTGGGAACAGCGCTGCGGACCAACAGCAGGGCAAAGGCTAGGTGTGTGCCCGTCAGCCTGGCAGAGAGGAGCTGAGGGGTCCTTTGTGGTGACGAGAGCGTGAGGGCAGGTAAGACGCTGTGTGGGGCTGGACAGGCAGTGGGGGGGCGGACCCCCCCTCCTGGGAGCATCAGGGAGGCTGGGGTGGCGGCTGGGGTGGGGAGGGTGGCAGGGGACACCTGGTCCCAGACTGTGGAGTCCGAGGCCCCAGGCAAGCAGCTGTGAGCCAGATGGTCAGTGGCCAGGCCAGGCTGTGCATTCCATGTTGGGCAGGTAACTTTGCCCCCGGCCCTTGGCCCCTCCTGCGCCAGTGAGGCTGACGGGCTGCTGTTCGGAGGAACGTCTCTAAAGGCATGAAATCAGAGTGCGGGGCACAGAGGAACCGGTCGTCCCGGCCCCTGGCTCTGCTGGTGGCCCCAGGCCCCTGATCCCAGGTCGGCCGCCTCCGTGAGCCGTGAACGCAGCTGGAGACAAGAGGCAAGGCAGACAGAGCCTCCGGAAAGGGGTGGGGGCAGGGTGTGCAGAACACCGAAAGGAAAGGCCCCACTGAGGCCCCTGGCTTCACGGCCCTCCCTGGGGGCAGGGCGAGGGTCCGGCTGGGGTGGCTGCTGCAGGGCAGGGGCACAGAGATGGCTGGTTCGGGAAGAGGCCGCAGCGGTCACCCTGCTCGGCTGCTCCCCAGCAGCCACCTGCCCCTGAGCCTCGGAGGCTCCGTCTGCAAGGTGCCAGCTGTGCTGCAGGGCTCTATCGTCACATCCAGGGGATGGCCCCAGGGCCCCGCCCACAGGGCGCCCAGCCCACAGAAAGAGCTGGTCTCCGAGCCTCTCCCAGCCGTGGCCGGGCTGAGAGATGCCTGCTGCTGACCAGAGCCGCTCGGGGAAGTCTGGAGAAGGTCAAGAGCTTGGGCTGGTGTGAGCCAAGTGTGAGGCCCGGGAGCCGGGGTGTGTATGTGGGAGGGAGCGGGAGCCCCGCTTCCCACTGAGTACCCACTGCAGGGAGCAGGCCTGGTGGACTCCTCGTCCCAGAGCAGAGCAGGGCGCGGAGGGCTCTGAGCAGGAGAGTGACTGGTGCTGACGCAGCACGCTTCCCCAGCTGCAAACGCACAAAGGTGTCCAGGCCCAGGGTGGGGGGGCCGGCAAAAGGGGGGGGTCCGCTGAAGGCCTCCTCAAGGGACTCAGTGCTGGCTCACTCGGGCCAGCGGCATCAGGGGAGCAGGAGGCCTGGTGTGGGCTGCAGGGTGTGGGCTTGGAGGGAGGAGGTGGCCACCCCCGCACATCAGCTGAGGTGGGCAGGAGGGTCCAGGGGTCGGAGTGCGTGACTGGAGTGTGAGATGCCCCTGGGCCACCTGGACGGGGCGCCCTGGGGGCCGGAGCACCAGGACAGACCAAGTCAGGTCCAAGTCTGGGCCGGCCCTTACACCCATCTCCAGTCCCATCAGCCCCTCATCCCCTCAGGTCCCTCGAGACAAAAATGAAGAGTCCCAATACCTTCTTGCAGGTGAGGAGTGAGACGGGGCACAAGTGTTTGAAGCGACGCCGGTGACGGGCTGGCGTTTATTAGCAGGCAGGGGACCTGTGGGGCGGGCGGAGACAGAACACCAGGCTCACCGGAGCCGGGGTGGCGGGCCGGCGGGTGCGGGTCCCTGCACCCAGGTGCCAAGTGTGTGCCTGTGTGCCGTTGTGTGCGTGTGCCATGGGTCATTGTACATGTGTGCACACCTGTGTGGGGCACATAGTGTTCCCGTGTGAGTGTGCGTGTGTGTGGTGTGTTAACACAGCTGCTGAGACGTGCGAGAGCCGAGGCTGGGCTCTGGGCCACTCCAACCAACAAGCACAGAGCAGAGATCAGGAAGGGCGGCTGGCCTGCCCTTGGGGGGCGGGGCGGGGCGTGTCACCCAGGCGGGTCCCTGCGCCCGGAATGCTGTCCCGGAGCTGGGGACTGAAGTCGCGGCCGTGACAGCAGCCGGGTTCGAGTGTTTGCTTGGTGCCCGAAGCACCCACATACTCGCTGGCTTCCTCCTCCCAGCAGCCCGGGCTCTTCCCGCCCCAGGAAGGCTCTCCCCGCGATGCCCAGAGGGCGCCCTCCCCCGGGTCCTTGCTCAGCCCCAGTCTCCACCCCGCACGCAGTCTCTGTTCCACCCACGGATTCTCCCTTCCTCCTTCTCGGTCCCTGCTAGCGTGAGAGCGCCGCCGCGGGGCTGGGAGTCTGCTCACTCGCCCACGCGGCCCTGAGTGCAGGACCCGACCGCAGGCCGCACGCCCTCGTAGGCGCACGCGCAGTGCGGGGAGGCATGGAGGCGGTGGCTGGGAAGGGTCAGCTGACCGCAGAGCCAGCGCCAGGCCACTTGGCGGCCCGAGACACTTAGGGCTTCTACTGTGCTGACCTCTGGGGGGGTCGGCGTGGCACGTGGACCAGAGAGGTCCAGGAGACACACAGCTGAGTCCTGTGCCCAGGGAGGTCCGCGCCACGCACGGCGGGCAAGGCCGGGACCGGCGCGTCCTTCATCTGCTCTCCCAGAAAGCTTTGCGCAGCCGAGCCAGGGAGCGAGCAGGAGGCCCGGGCCAGCCCGTGGCCCATTTTCTGCCCTGCCCCCTGCCCGCCTGTCCAAACGCCACATGGCCACGTCACGCGTCTGGCTCATCCCTCGTTCCTCAGGCCACAGCAACTGTTCCCTCCCACCTGCCCCTGTCAGGCGCCCTCCCACCGGGTCCTTGCCAGAGTCCTGTCCCTCTGTCTGCCCCCCCCCCCAGTCTCTGCCTTCTTCTGCCTCTGGCAAGATGGGGCCATTTCTCTCAAGGGTCGTTTTAAATATTCATGTTTTAATTAAAGAATTTTATTGCAGAAGCGACATGTAAGCTAATGGGAAAGCAGCGTCCCGGGGCTGGGAACCTGTCCCCATGTCCCCGCCCGCGCCTCAGTCCCCGCGAGTCCTCGCGTGCCCCCTCCATGCGGGGCGCCTGCGGTGGAGGGGCTGAGCCCCCAGCCCAGCCTCCGGGCCTGTTACCAGTGAGCAGTGGCCTTGCTGTGACGGAGAGCCCCCACGACTCCCGTCTGGAAGAGAGTCAGAGCCGTCCTCTCAGGCTACAGGGGTGGGGGAGGCTGGGCCTAGAGTAGGGGCTCTGGTGGCAGGGCTGTGTCCCTGAGTCCGCTGGGGGCACAGAGAGAACGTGGGGGTGCTTGGGCAGGCCCGACCGAGGACCTCCCCGCCGGGACACTGCCCTTCCACAAGGGCTGGTTGAGGGAACTCGAAAACAAGGTCTCATCTCTGCTGGAGACAGAGCCTGCCCCATGGCGGGCGGGGGAGGGGCAGGGCCAGCCGCGCACACGTGTGCCCTCCCCCGCAGAGGTTCCCACCTGAGCTCAGAGACCCTGTGCTGCCCGCTGCCCACGGCCCTTTTGGATCCATGTCCCCCAAAGAGGGACTGTCAGCACCAAGGCCCAGGAAGGGGAGGGACTTGCCCAGGTGACCAGGGCTCGAGGGCAGAGCTTATTGGGGGCCATTTTTAGGATGGGGGGCAGCCGCCCAACAAGGAAGAGAAGCCACAGATAGCGAGTGGCCCTGGGGACTGGGGCACGCTGGTCGGCTCGGCGGCTGCAGCTTCCCTTCTGTGGGGTGGGGGCAGGACGGACCTGCTCGGGGGGCCGTGTGAGGCTGACGGACAGCCCCTGACGCCTGTGCTCTCCCCGCCTGCGGGCGGCCCTGGGCTGGTGGTAGCTCTCCTGTCCCATCCTGAGGTCCCCTGGCACCTGCTGTGGCTGGGCGAGCTGCTGGCCACTGGGGTCCTGAGCATGGGGGCGGCAGGCCCCAAACGGACCAGCAGGATGTTCTTGGAGGGTAGACTGGGCCCTGGGCTCTGGGGGAGCTGTCCTGTCCCCAGGTGTTCCTGTTGGCACATCCATGCAGGGACAGAGAAGGGGGCTCAGAGGAGGAGCTTGGGTGCCCCAGACAGGGCCTAACTGGGTGGAGGGTGGGGCAGGGTCCTCAGGGGGGCTGGACTGGGCAAGGCAGTGGGTGCTTGGGAAGCCTGGCCCGAAGAAGCAAATGTGCAGGTGCTGGACTAGGGAGACCTCTGCTGGAGGAGCAGGGAAGTGCACAGCTCCCCTCCTCCAAAGGGGGACCCCCACACACACACACTGGGAAGGAAGGCCCAGGCTGGGGAGGGTCTCCCCCAGCACCCCATCCCAGCCAACTTGGGGCGAAGGGACGAGGTGGTCACAGCCTCCAGGCTGGGGCGCCAGGATGGGAAGGGAGAGGGCCGGGAGCCCCCTCTCCGTGTGCCCGCTCGCCTGGGTGGCCAGGCTGCCGAGAGGCCGTTAATCGGCTCCATTCATCCTGGAATGGGATGGAAATGAGGCTTCCAGACAGAGGGGCATTGAGCTGGGGAAGAATGGCCGCCTCTTCCTGGGCCTGGAGGGGCAGCCCACCCCCAGCCTTGCCCACCCTCCGCTGTTCCTTGGGAGCTCACCCAGCAGAGGCTGGCCAGAGCGCCTCTGCCCCGCATCTCGGGTAATCCCTGAGTCGTGGATGCACTTTATCAGGTGTCAGCTGTGCGTGAGGACACACGTTAGAAATAAAAACACCAGCAGAAGTAGCAGCACCCACCCCCTGGACGCTCGTTAGTGGCAGGAGCGTGGCTGGGGTCAGGGACTGGGACCAGGCCGCCGGTGCCCAGGGTCAGAAGGCAGACTTCAGGGAGGATCAAGGCTCAGTGTGTGGTCGGGGTTGGGACTCAGCCTGCAACCAGGGTCAGGATAGGCCCCGGGGACAGTTCTGTCCTCTGAGCCATGGCCCCCCGCCTCCCCCTCCCCCCTGCCACAGCCTTGCCACCTGGGTCACCAAGGTAACCAGCCCTGGAAGAGTGGGTGTTCTGGCAGCTGAGGCCTAACCTGAGTCTATCCTGAAAGACTCAGCTCTGCAGCAGTTGCCATGGGAACCGAGTGGCATCCTCTGATTAGCCCGGCTTGGACACCCTCTCTCTCCCACCCACTGCCAGCTTCCACGTCACTCAGGCTTCCGCGTGGGGGCTGGGTTGGGGCAGCAAGGGGCCACTGGCAGGACGAGCCCAGCCTGACCCCACTGCCAGGCCCACCTCCCTGGACTCCGGCCCTCTCTGTCCCTTTGTCTTGGTGTCACAGGATGGGGTGGCCCCCGGCAGGTGCCAGTGCAAAGGCCTGGCGCTCTGGACTGGGGCTGTGGTTGGGGACTGCAGCAGGCGGCCTTAGTGAATCTGGGGGCCCTGGGGAGCCCCTGGGTCTGACTGTGGGGTCCCGCCCCTGCCGCTCCCCTGTAACAAGGGCTCCCGTCTGCCTCCGGCTCTGACCCTGCATCTCGGCTGAGTCACCGCCACGCCGCCCTGCCGGCGCACTGGGCACAGGGAGGCTGTGCCCCAGCCCGCTCCACTCACCCCCGGGCGCATCCCCGACCACCTCGGTGTCAGACGAAGTGGTGCTGATGCAGCGCACCCCAGGCTGTGGTTCCAGCTGCCCCGCCCCCAGGCGTCTGACCATCCCCTTTGTGCCCCTGTTTCCTCTGCTGTAAAAGGGGTGAAAACAGAGCCCCCCGGCCTGGGTGGGACCTCAGGTTCCTGGGTGCCCAGGATGACCCCCTGGGAGAGCTGGCCACAGGGGGCCCAGCCGATGGCCTGGTGCAGGCGCACTCAGCCCCATCCCGGCTGGTGGTCACGGGCGCCCCTCCCCAGGCTGCCTCAGCCTGGTCCTCTGAACCAGGGGGCAGAGGGCCCTGCAGTAACACAGTGCCTGGAGGGCGAGGCACCCAGACCCAGGTCCGGGCTCGGAACCAGGCCCTGCGGCCCCCGGAGCAGCAAGGGCCGGCGCAGAGCTCAGCCCTGCCCCCACTCCATGGCCCTGGCAAGCCCCCCCACTCTCCCTGCTGAACCCAAGGCTGGGAGCTGCAGGTACCACCTGTGAGCAGGGACAGAGCAGGGTCCGTGCCCTCCCTCACCAAGGGGCAGCCGCTAAGGTCGGAGCCCCTCCTGCTGGTCACTGGGTGAGTCAGCCTGCCCACCTCTCCCACCATCCTCCTGTGTCCCACCCGGCTGGGTCCAGAGGGCAGGAGGCAGGGCTGCTGTGGGCCCTCACAGGGAGCTTTGCCTCTCCGGGCCCAGGGGACAGGGGAGCCCGTGGGAGGGCGCTCTGAAGGCAGGGAAAGAGGAAGGTTCTGCAACAGGCTGGGGGTGCAAGGCCCCCCTTCCCACTGTGCACCCAGAGTGGAGACAGGGCCACCATCCACACTGTGGAGGTTCCTCCCGGCCTTGCCTCCCAGTCCCTTGCCTCTGGCGCCCCCTGCTGGTCAGATTCTGGGACAGCACAGAAGCTGTGGGGGAGGGGCTCTGGCACTGACCCTTGGCCCGCACAGAACAGATCTGCCACCGCATGGCAGTCACTGGGACAGTGAACCAGCTGCAAATCAGAGTGGGCTCTCTGGGGTCAAGTCCAACCCCAGTGGCAATGCCCCCACCCCTCCCTTCCCAGCCCCAGCTGCCATTTGTCTCCATCCGAGAAGCACCCAGTCATCCTCAGATGGGGGGCATGAGGCCAGGGCAGACGGCCTGTGGGTGGTGGGGGGTCTTTCAGCCTCTGTTCTAGGGCCCACCCTCCGGGCTCCCCTGCCATCCCCCGTGTCGTAGACATGCCAACGCCCCAAGGGACACCTGGGACCCTTCTGCTGGGCCCTTTGAGACCTGCCCCTGGCCAACTGGCTCCCCTGCTCCGGCCCGGTCAGCAGGCCTCGAGGAGTATGGCCCGGCTGTCTCCCGGCCTCCTCGCCAGTGGGTGCGGTGGCAGGGTGCCTGCCAGGCCTGTGCCTCACCCATTGTGGGCGCTGCAGGGGCTGCCCCCCCCCCCCCCGTGAGGCCACCCTGGCCCGCTGGGCTGGCAGTGCAGGGGCCCTGGCCTCCCTGGGGACAAGCAGGACAGCCTGAAGCATGGCCTTTGAACAGAAGGCCCGGACAAGCAGCCCCCCTCCCCGGCCCTCCAGGGCAGCCCCTAACTCTGGCCCGAGATGGGGAGGCCTCCCTGCTCCTCTTCCCTCAGTGGTCCCCTGGCACTTTGAGGCTGTCCTGCTCAGCTTCCTGAAACTCGGGCCACCAGGGGGAGACAAGGCCAGCATGGAGGAAGGGGTGACCAGGGGTGGCTATGGTTGGAGAAGGGGCAGCTGGGGCCTGGAGGCTCTTGTCCCAGCACACACGGTGCCAGGTCTGGGTGGGGGGTGGCTCAGCCTGGCTGTCCTCTGGGTGTGAGGCCTTGCCAGGCCACCAGGTGTGGGACCCTGGTCACTTTCGGTGTTCCTGCACAGCAGGGGGGAGGGGGAGCACACAGGTCAGGCTGTGAGAGGGGAATAATGGGGAGACTGAGGCTCAGAAGAAACTGGACTGAAGACCATGGGAGGGGGTCCCAGCAGGGGAGGGGATCTGTCCGGACAATGAGGCCTCTTCTGCCATCGGCCCATCACCAGGATCTCACAACGCAGCTGCAGGGATGGGCTGCGGAGTCAGTCATTCACTCCCCAGACCACTCTGGGGCTCCAGCCTTGTCCGACCCCCACACTGGGGACAGATTCCAAGCTGGAGAGACCCAGGCCCCAGGTGCCCCGGTGCCCATAGACAGAGAGCCAAGAGCACTGTGGCCCCAGGGCGTGCCCAGGGGACGGCACTTCCTGGGCCGCCCTTCCCAGACAACTCTGCCCCTTGCACCTGGTGACTTAGCCGGCCAGGCCCGCACTGGCCTCCCAGGCGACCCTCCGCAGTGCTGCGCTGCAGCTCCCACCCTGGAGCCTCCCACGTGCGGGTCACCCTGCTGTGTCCCGTCCCTGCCAGGGAGATCCCCAGAAGTCAGCCTCCGAAAGACCTGACCCCTGCCCTCTGTTTCCCACCAGGCGGCTGGAAGCTGTGGTCCCTGTGGGGCGAGTGCACGCGGGACTGCGGCGGAGGCCTGCAGACGCGGACGCGCACCTGCCTGCCGTCGCCGGGCATGGAGGGCGGTGGCTGCGAGGGGGTGCTGGAAGAAGGACGCCTGTGCAACCGCAAAGCCTGCGGCAGTGAGTGCGCGGCGCGGCGCGGGGCGGCAGTGGAGGGAGGGTTTTGGGGTGGGGCCCGGTGCAGGTGAGCCCCAGGATGGGGCCAGACCAGATGAGAGAGGGATGCGAGTGAAGTGGGGGGCAGTGTGGTTACTTGGGGTTGGGCTGGAGGGGGGCCGGGATCCTAGACTGGCCAAGTCAGGTGGGGAAGGGGGACCCCTGGGCCGGCTCGGGCTAAGGGTGGTGTGGAAGCGGAAAGGAGCGCCCTGGGACCCTCTGCAGGGAAGGGGCGGGGCCTAACGCGGGGGCGGGGCCACAGAGGTGGAGCTTGGCCCAGAGCAAGGGGTGGGACACCAGCAAAGGTGAGGGCTCCGGAAGAGAGGAAAGTAGATGGGGCTGGGTGGGGCTTTCTTCTCACGTGCGGATGGAGAATTTGGGGGTGCATCCTCCCTCTGTCCCCCGGCCCTGGCCAGACATGCCCACCCCAGCCCCGTTCCACCTTCAGAACATATTTCTCTAATAAGACCTTCTAATGAACTCATGCATATTTTAACTGCTTCCATAAAGTTAAGTCAAGTTATAAGAAGACTGCCATTCCGTGGGCTGGTTTTCCTTGGTGAACTTCCCTGGGAAGAGGAGCTCACCTCAGAAGCCTGGGGAGGGCCCTGGGGCGTGTGGGGGTCCAGACCATGGGAAGCAAGGGTGCTGGTGAGATGCGGGTGGGGGGGCAACGGCTGCCCAAACTGCTCTGCGGCGCGTGAGGGCCCTGGAGGAAGAGAGGGAGCGGCACAGGGCAGGGGAGATGGGACCCACAGGAAGGGGCCAGACAGGGCTGGTGCCAGGCCCAGGAGCCCTGGCCCCAGCTGTCTCAGCTGTCTGGGGGGCCAGGCAGCCCTGGGGCTGCCAAGCCGGGGCCGCTCTGGCTGGGGACTGCGGACCCGGGGCACAGAGCGAGGCTCCTGAGTGCCTCCGCTGGACGCTGACCTGGGCCCATCCCGCAGCGGCTGGGCACACCAACTCCCGGAGCCAGTCGCTGCGGTCCACCGATGCCCGGCGGCGCGACGAGCTGGGCGACGAGCTGCAGCAGTTCGGGTTCCCGTCGGCGCACACAGGTGAGCCGCAGCGACGGGCGGGGCTGAGACAATGCTGTGAGGTGGGGAAGGCTGGTTTCGAGGGACTAGGTCTTTGTACAAATACTTCAAGTTATTAACTGCTGCTAATTGTAAGAAGTAAAGTTAATTACTCTCTGTAATTAGACTGCTCTTAGGCGCCAGGCTGTCCTCTCCGGGCCGGCTGGCGTTGGGGGCGCTAGTGCAAGACGGAGGGCCGTCGGGGCCAGACCCCAGGGACGCGGAGCCAGCGCTCGCCCAGCGGGACTTGCAGGGGAATGGCACGTCCTGCCATCAGCCCCGCTTCAAACACCTGGAGCGAAAAGCCTTGCTCCCGGGGGTCCGACCGCACTCTGGGCACAGAGGCAGCGGCAGGCCTGTGATGCTAGAGGTCTGGCCCTCAGGTGACCCCGCGGCCGAGGAGTGGTCCCCGTGGAGCGTGTGCTCCAGCACGTGCGGCGAGGGCTGGCAGACCCGAACGCGCTTCTGCGTGTCCTCCTCCTACAGCACGCAGTGCAGCGGGCCCCTGCGCGAGCAGCGGCTGTGCAACAACTCCGCCGTGTGTCCAGGTGGGCGGGCGGAGCAGCAGGACCGCGGGCGGGGCAGCGAGGATGCGGGCGGAGGGCGGGGCATCAGCACCGGCGGATTTAGTCCCGGGAGCCGGGGGGCGGGGCGTCTGAGGTGGGAAGGAGCAGGGGGCGGGGCGAGAGTAAGCGCTGCAGTGACCAGAGGTGGCAGAGCTCAGCGGCGCCCTCTGGCCCCTCTGCAGTGCACGGCGCCTGGGACGAGTGGTCGCCCTGGAGCTTGTGCTCCAGCACCTGCGGCCGTGGCTTCCGTGACCGCACGCGCACATGCAGGCCTCCTCAGTTCGGAGGCAACCCCTGCGAGGGTCCTGAGAAGCAAACCAAGTTTTGCAACATTGCCCTGTGCCCTGGTAGGTGAGAGGGAGGGCGCTGGGTGGGGGCAGACAGCAAGGGGGAAGGGCCCGGTGGGTCAAAGGCAGCCCCCGGAGCCCCAGACCCGCCTGCTCAGGGGTCGAAACCTCAGGCTGTGATGGAGGGGGCTTGGAGACCCTGGGGCCTTCTCATCCGTGTACCTTTGGTATTGGGGCGTTCGCGCCCACATCCCAGGCCTCAGTGAGTGGGGTGTGAGCCTTCAAATGTTGACACTTGGTACCCAGGCTCAGTGTTGGGGTCATGGGCCCCAGGGAGTGTTCACGCCAAGGCCAGGGCGGGGCGCAGGGCCTGGGTGTTCACACGGCTCCTGTCCCTTCCTCCCCCGGGCCGGGCAGTGGATGGAAACTGGAACGAATGGTCGAGCTGGAGCTCCTGCTCCGCCAGCTGCTCCCAGGGCCGGCAGCAGCGCACACGGGAGTGCAACGGACCCTCATATGGGGGCGCCGAGTGCCAGGGCCCCTGGGTGGAGACCAGAGACTGCTTCCTGCAGCAGTGCCCAGGTCAGGCTGTGCCCAGGGCCCACGGGGAGGTGGCATGGCGGGTGTGAGGGGGCGAGGCCCACGGGGGCTCTCTGTGGGCTCTGCGGGGACACGGGATTTGGTGGGAAGTGAGGGTGGTCGGGAGGGACGGTGTGGGTGGGGCACCTGTTTCTCTGTATCAAGATGAGCCCTGGTCTCCCCTCCCCTGGTCTCAATGTCTTCTCTCCTTGTGGCCTCCTACTCCAACACCCCCCCCCCTCTCCACGGCTCTGCGTGTCTGGCCCTCCCTGTCCCCATGTTTTCTGCCTTCCCTGTTGTCCCTGTCCCCACGGCCCTGTCTCCCACCACCGGGACGCCTGGACCTGCACCGCCTCGCCCCTGGGCCTCTGCACCTGGCGTGCCGCGCAGTGGACGGGAAGTGGCAGGCCTGGGCGCAGTGGGGGGGCTGCAGCGTCACATGCGGGGGCGGCACGCAGCGGCGGGAGCGTGCCTGCTCAGGGCCCTTCTTCGGGGGAGCAGCCTGCCAGGGCCCCCAGGAGGAATACCGGCAGTGCGGTGCCCAGCGGTGTCCCGGTGAGCGTCCCCGTGCCACTCCCCCAGCTGGGCTCCAGGGGGCACCCTGAATGACCGGGTGGGTGGGGCCGTGCTGGCCGAGGAAGGGCTCTGGCCGGTGACGGGGGTGTCCTGGCAGGGTCTGGTCCCCTGACACTGCAACCCGCACTCGGCACCCCTTCCTGTCCCCGGCCCCCATTCACCATCTCTGGCCCCTTGGCAGAGCCCCATGAAATCTGTGACAAGGACAACTTTGGCACTGTGATCTGGAAGGAGACTCCGGCTGGAGAGGTGGTCTCAGTTCGATGTCCCCGAAATGCCACGGGTGAGGGCCGGCAGACAGCTGCGAGGGGCTCCCGTCCCGCCCTCACAGAGCTGGGGCAAGGCGCTGAGCCAGGCCTTGGGGCCTGGCCGAGGGGCCATTGGGCAGCACCCCTGCCCCTTCCTGCCTGTGGCTCCCGTCAGGTGACAGGGCCGTGGCAGTTCTCCAGGGCCCTTGCTGCTGTGTGCAGGCAGCTGTGTCTGGTTCCCTGACCATGCACCCGCATTCAAGGCTGTTGCTCCCTGACTCCAGGTGCCCCGGTCTCCTCCCCGTGTGTGGAGCTGGGCGGTGGGCCAGGCTGTGGGCCCTCCCTGGGCTCTGGGCTAGGATAGACTCAGAGCAGCCGACTTGGTGGGGGGGCTCTGCCTCACGCAGTTGGGGTCCCCAGGGGTGTGGCTCCGGCTGGCCCTGCAGCAGCCACTCAGAAGCACTGTGACTGAGAGAGACAGAGGTGGCCTGGCCCCTGTGCCGGCTCAGAGTCCCTGCTTTGAGGGACAAGGGTCCCAGCCAGAGGGGCCTGGGCCCGGGAGCTGTGGGCGGTTGTCCAGCTAAGGGGGAGGCTGAGCTGACCCAGTGCCCCCCCCAGGGGTCATTATGCGGCGCTGTGAGCTGGACGAAGAAGGCATCGCCTACTGGGAGCCCCCGACCTACATCCGCTGCGTCTCCATCGACTACCGGAACATCCAGATGATGGTGAGGGCCGGCCACACCCCCGCCCTGCCTGCCCATCTTTCGACCTGACCCGGTGTCTCCGTGGGGCTGCAGAGGGTCCTGGAGGCACTGGAGGTCCTTGGGACCTGCCTTGCGTGCGGTGTGCCGCAGAATTACGGCGCCCAAACTTCTCCCTCTGTCCAGACCCGGGAGCACCTGGCAAGGGCTCAGCGGGGGCTGCCCGGAGAGGGGGTGTCCGAGGTCATCCAGACCCTGGTAGAGGTCTCCCAGGACGGGACCAGCTACAGTGGGGACCTGCTCTCCACCATCGACGTCCTGAGGAACCTGACTGAGATCTTCCGGCGGGCGTACTACAGCCCCACCCCGGGGGACGTGCAGGTGAGCTCTGGGGGCCGGGGTGGGGGGGGCCGATGGGAGCGCTCCTGGCCCCAGCCGCACACTGGGCCTGACCCCAACCTCAGGCGGGGCCTCACCCCTGGTCACACACTGAGCCCCGATCCTGGGCCTTGCCGTCTGCTCACTGGCCTGCCTTCCACTCCCTTCCAGAACTTTGTCCAGATCATTAGCAACCTGCTGGCGGAGGACAACCGGGACAAGTGGGAGGAAGCCCAGCTGGTGAGGACGCCGGTCAGGCCGTCGTCTCTGGGGCCTCCCTGAGTTCGAGTCTAGCCCAGCGTGGGGCCGTGGGTTCAGATCCCAGCTCGGCCTCTACCAGGGGCCAGGTGACCAGTGGTGTGACCTGGAGGAAGCCGCTGAGCCCTCCGAACCTCAGTTTCCCTATGGCCGGAGGACGGTCGCTCACCTGGTGGGACTCAGCGCGGGGGTGGGGCATGCGGGGACTGCTGGGTGCTTACTGGGGTGACCAGGACGTGGTGGCTGTTCCTCGTCTGGAAAGGGTGGTCAGCCTCCCTTCCTCCCAGACTGACCTGTCCCGAGGGCAGTGCCTGGTGTGGGGCCTGTGGGAGACCAGAGACCCCACGGTTTGCCCAGGCCCGACCCGGACCCCTGGCCTGGGTCTGAAGCACCGCAGCCTCTCCAGGCTCGGTCTTCCCGTCTGCCAGGGAGACGGCCACTCAGAGGTCCGCCAGACCCTGTTGCCCAAGGCAGGCCCGGGGCCTGCGGTGCTAGGGAGGGACCGACGGGACCCAGACGCGGACAGGTGGGAGGAAGTGGGAGGCGGTGGAGGGACAGAGAGGTGTGTCCCAGTGGCAGGGAGGCGGGGGGGCCTGTGACGCCACCCTCGGTTAGTTCTGCTGGTTGGCATCCCCGCTGGAGCTGCTGGCCACCATCTCTGAGGCAGCCTGACCCCAATCCCCAGATGGGCCCCAACGCCAAGGAGCTGTTCCGGCTGGTGGAGGACTTCGTGGGCGTCATCGGCTTCCGCATGAAGGACTTGCGGGATGTGTACCAGGTGACAGACAACCTGGGTAAGCCCACCCGGTGCTCCTAGGACCCCCGTCCCCGTCCCTCTGCTCTGCGGCTCTGGGCCCAGCCTTCCTGCCTCAGTTTCCACATCTATGTACACAGGCCAGCGTCTAAGGTGTCAGGTGTGCAGACCTATGACCCTGTGAGGGGTCAGCATGGGGCGTCTCAGACCCAGACGAGGTCCTAGAGGCCTCGGGTTTGAGGGCCCACCAGGAACCCTGCCCTCAGCACCCCCCCAGCCGGGCCCACTTTGGCCGGCCACCCCCTGCCCTCTCTGTGCTGGGACGGCCCTGGGATCTGAAGGCAGGACTCCACAGCCACCCCTTGTCCAGCCTCTACCCGCAGAGCGTCCTGTGGGAGGGCCTGGTCTTCGACATCACCCGAGTCTGCGCCACAGGAAGGTGGCAGGACTTCCCTGCAGCGGGTGGCGGAGTGCCAAACGAGCCCGGGGCCTGGGGGGCTGGTACCCCCGATAATCACACTGCCAGGGTGCCCTGTGAGGACACTCAAGGGCTATATTCTTCTAGTCCCCACCTCGGAGCACCTCCTGGCCCTCTCTGCATCCCTCCTGCACCCCACCCTGTTCCTGGACACACACCCCGGCAGCCCCGGCAGCCCGGCCTCCTTCGGGTCTTCATGCACAGTCACCGCCCCGGGGGCTCCAGCCTGCCCCGTTCGGCATTACCCCCTCCCCGTGACCATCACTGCCTGTCTGTCCCCTGCTGACTGTCAAGGTCAGCAGGGCCTCCTTGGCTCCTGCCACACCCTCAGCGTGAAGGCTCCCAGCACGCAGCGGGCACTCAGTGTCCCCGTGGGAGCCTGCCTGCCGCTGGTCACTCTCTCATTGGTAGTGGGCGCAGCAGGGCGCCCGCCCAGTTCCCAGGGCCTCCCATAGAGAAGATCCATGTCCCCAGAATGGACCACAGGTGCAGGGAGGGCCCAGCTGGGGGCCGGGGCACTGTGTGAGCAAAGGCGTGGGGGTGGCCTCGGCTGCGTGGTGGCTTCCGCAGGGGCAGGGCCCCAGAGGTGGGCGAAGGCAGACCCCAGGGGGCTGGGGGCAGGAGCACAGCGTCTGCCCAGGAGGGAAGGCCAGGGAAAGGGGGCCTTGAGCCCTGTCCCCCCAGGCCTGTATCTGCCGCTTGCTCAGCGGATGCCTCAGTCAGGAGTCAAGACAGAGCCTGGAGGGACTGGGTGTTCAGGCGCGAGCTTGGCTGGGACCGGGTGGGCCCAGGGTCCTCGGAGGTCAGCCATGTCCCAGGGCCACACCTTTGCCACTCCGACCGCTCCCACGCTGCTGTGTCCCCGTGAGCCCATCTCCCTTCACCGGACAGAGGACCCTTCCCCACCCCTTGTCTTCCTTCCACGTCACCCCCCCCCCCGACGTCTGCCACCTCCATAACTGTCCCCGGGAGGTGGGGTCTGCCCCGTTCCTTGTTCAGAGTTGCAGTGGAGGAGGGACAGGGATGCAGCATCAGGGGACGCCAGAGGGGACCCCACCAGCCTCTGGGACACGGCCACCCCAGGAAGCCTATGGAGGGACAGAGCGAGGGGGACAGTGCCGCTTGGGGCCAGGGCCCTTGGTGAGAGGCCAGGAAGGCGCGCAGGGCCTGTAGGGAGCCGGCACCGAGCAGCAGCCTGGCCGGTGGCCCCCTGCCCCCCCACCCCACCCCACTCCGAGCTGCGAGCACCCGCGTGGTGGTCCCGACCCCAGGCCTGCTCCCCCGCTCTTCTTGGCCAAGGCTCCTCGTCACCGATCTGCTCTCTCTGTCTCCCCATCTCTGTCGCCCCTCCTCCTCCCTCACCACAGCCCTCAGCATCCACAAGCTCCCGGCCAGCAGAGCCACCGACATCAGCTTCCCCATGAAGGGCTGGCGGGCCACGGGCGACTGGGCCAAGGTGCCGGAGGACAGGGTCACCGTGTCTAAGAGTGTCTTCTCCACGGGGCTGGCAGGTGAGGGCCCCGTGGTGTGGGGGTGGGGGGAGCCACATCAGAGACTTGGGCCCCAAGGGCCTGCACGCCCAGCCCCAGAAAGGCCCTCTGGAGCCAGGCCCGTGGTCTCCAGGTCCGAGATGGCATCCACAATTCCACTCAGGGTCCCCAGGCCCGTCCTCCCTGCAGGGCCCTCCTCTCCCCGTGTCGGACAGCTGCCCCGGTCTCTGCAGGATGGGCAGAGGGACCTCCCCATTGCAGGCAAGGGCAGCACTTCCCCTGAAGCCACAGCGAACATCCGCCCCGCGTGTCCTCAGCTCTCGGGGGTCACCTAGGGGACCCCCAACTCGCACTGCAGTGCTGTGTTTGTGGTCAGGGGGTGCACGAGGGAGCTGGGCCCAGGCTGGGGACGGTCAGGGAGGAGGGTGACCGGCACACTGTCTTCCAGAGGCTGACGACTCCTCTGTGTTTGTGGTGGGCACCGTGCTCTACCGGAACCTGGGCAGCTTCCTGGCCCTCCAGAGGTGGGAGCGAGGGGCTCCGGGGCAGTGGGGGCAAGGGCGGCCAGCCGGGCGGGGGCGGGGTGGTGCGGGCAGTTGGCACGGGGGCCCAGAGGCGGGCCGGGCCTGCGGTGGGGGGGCTCCAGAAGTCCGACACGTCCTGCCGCCTCTCCCCCAGGAACACAACTGTGCTGAACTCCAAGGTCATCTCGGTGACTGTGAAGCCGCCGCCGCGCTCCCTGCTCACGCCCTTGGAGATAGAGTTCGCTCACGTGTACAATGTGAGTGCCTTCCGCGAGCGTGTGTCCACACACGTGTGCGTGACGCCTGACTGGCCCTCGGTGGGAGGTCTCCCTGCCGCCTTGTGAGGGAGCAGCTCTCACCCCGAATGGTGGCGGGGAGACTGGGGCTCGGAGCGCTGCTGTGACTCCCTCAGGGTCACACGGCAGGGTGATGAGGGATCGGAGGCCAGCCCAGCTCGGCCACCACTGCCCAGGCCCGGTCCCGCCAGCCTGGTGGCTCCCCTGAGGGACAGAGAGCCGTGTATCTGAGGAACCTGTCCGCCTGGGCCCCTCTGTTCTCTGTCCGGCCGAGATGTCCTGTGGACCAGCCGAGAGCCAGGAGCCGCAGGGTCACCCCGCAGGACAGGGCAGTGCCAGGCCTGGAGCCCCAGGCTGGGGTTGGGAAGAACCCGTCCTGCCCTTTCCCGCGTGCGGACTGGGGCGTGTCGCTCTGCCTCCCGGTGCCAGGGCTCCCACCCTGACCAAGGGTGGGCTACAGGGTCGATGAGGGGCAGTATCTCCCACCAGCGTTTAGAGCGGCTGCCACCGTAGAAGCTGGGAGGCACGCCCCTACCACTGCTGTCCTCTCGGGGGCGCTGCACAGTCGCCCGCAGGACGGGTGTTCTCAAGGACCCCTGTGCCCGCCCGACCCACAGGGCTCCCAGGGAGGGGTCTCCCTGTGTCTCCACTTTGCGCAAAGCTGACTGGTCACGTGGGAACCTGGGATGGTTTTGGCCACTGCGGCCCAAGCCTGCTCGGAGAGGGGACAGGCACTGCCCAGGGCCCCACAGCGGGCTTGGACTGGGGCTCTGTGCCAGTCTCTTCCCTGCTCTGGGCCTCGGTTTCCTCCTCAAACAGCGTTTTCTTGGCGGGATGGCGCAGGCAGGGCCCCTGGCTCACCCGGGGGCGGAGCAGGGACGTGGCCCTCGGGTTGGCTCCGGGGCACGGGCAGGTGGCCCTGACTCCTCCCCACTCCGTGCAGGGCACCACCAACCAGACCTGCATCCTGTGGGACGAGACCGACGGGTAAGTGCCCCTGGGTTCACGGCCTTGGGGCCCTCGGGGGCGCTTTCGGGGAAGCCGGAGTTTCTCCTTCCGGCACCGCCCCTCCCCGCCCAGGTCTGGCTCCGGGGCAGCATGGTGCCCATCCAGCCTGCCTCCCACCCATCCGGGGCCCCGGTGCCGCCCCGGGGTGCACGGGGGAGGCAGCAGTGCAGGCTCCCGGGCCCAGGTCCGCATCCGGCTCCTGCTGCCCACGCCCTGCAGAGTGGGGTCCGACCGGCTGCTGTGCGGTCACAGGGCCCGGTGTGGGCACCCCAGAGCAGGTGTCCCCCGAGGCGTGGCCAGGCAAAGGGAGAGGTGGGAAGCCTCACTCAGCCACAGGCAAGAGTTTGTGCGAAGGCCCCTAAGTGGAGTGGCCCCCGGAGGGGAGGAGGGTCAGAATTTTGGGAGACAGGACAGGAGAGAGCTTGGCGGCTGGAGCCCGCTGGGCCAGGTGGGCCTGGGGGGCCTGGGCCTTCCCCCAAGAGGTTTGGTGAGCACTGGGGCTTGGTGTGCGTTAGTGTCAGTGGGAGACTGGGTCATTGTCACTGCGACCTGTTAGCCCCCAGGCCGGCTGGGAGGGTGAGTGGGCTCAGCGGGGCCCCCAGGCTTGGGGTGCCCACACCAAGTTCCTGCTTGTGATCTGGGCGTCCCGGGGACCGGCATGTGTCCTGGGCGGTCAGGGAAGGCTCCCGCAGTGGCTGGCATGGAGGAGGACTGGTGCGCTGGGCATAGAAGGGACGAAGGGGACTCAGGCAAGGCCTCGGCAAAAGCTGGAGAGCAGGCCGGGTGGGTGCTGAGGGGAGGCTGCCGGGGGTGTGGTCACTCTGTGGGGGCTGAGTCAGGAGCTCCGGAAGTTGTTGGGGGAGCCAGCAGCGGCCCCGCCCACCCCCCTTTAGTGATCACTGCCACAGGAGGTCTGCCCCTCTGCCTCGGGTAGGAGGGGCGTCCAGCAGGAGCTCACGGCCAGGCCCGTGTGAAGCATCAGGTCAGGCCACAGCCACAGGAGGGGCCCGGCTGGTGGCAGGAGGGCTTCCCCAGGAAGCCCACGTTTGAGCGAAGGTTGCAGAGCGCCGTGCGCGTGAGCCCCTGGGGAGGGGCAGGAGGAAGGGGCAGGGCGAAGACCTGAGCCCGGCATGTGCACGGCCGGCCGCCCGCACTGGCCTTTCCTGCTCTGGGTCTGAGGCTGGGGCAGAGCCCTCGGCACGGACCCCGGGCCCTGGGGAGCGGGCTGCAGCGAGGTTGCTGTCGACTGCCTTTCTCTGGGTGTTGCAAGCGGCACGTGCTCTGTGTACAAACAGGGCACCATAAAAGCATGAAAGGAGCACACGCAAGAGAGAGAGACCAGGCTGGCCACTGTGTCCTCCTCGGGGGCTTTTCAGAGTCGTGCCTTTCAAGGGGTGCAGGTTCATCCTCTCTGGCCCAGGCCCCTCCCGGGGGCTGTTCGCAGGCTTCCTACAGCTACCTGGGGCAGCTGGCCCACCGGACAGCACTACCGCCCCGCCCGGGAAGCTCCCCTCTTCATCCCCCTCCCGGCTCCCGGCTTCATTAGCACCCTCACTTCCTGTTGCCTCCTTGGCCTCCAGTCCCCAGACAGTTTTAGGCTCCTGGTAGGAAAGTGCTTTCCGGAAAGATGGGCCCTTCCCCTCTGCCTCAGAGAGGCCTGGCCTGGGCAGCCTGTGTCCAGGACAGTGCTGCTGGGGCCCAGGTTGGGCTGGGCGGGGCCTGGAGCAGATCCCACCCTCGGGGCCTCAGCTCCCTGGCCCAGCGGGAAGTCTGCCTGCAAGTGGGTCAAAGCACAGCAGGCAGTGGCCAGGCCCAATGGTGGCTCACCGCTGCTCACCTCCGGGTAGGTGGGGTCATTCAGGTCCCTGTGCCTGGGACCCAGGGTCCCAAGGACCACGGGATGGTGCCAACAGCTGGGCTGTGTTTGTGGCAGGCCCCACTGGGTCCCCACTGGGCCAGCCGCCTCTTGGAGGCCTGCGGTGCAGCTGGAAGCTCTGGATTTGGGGATGAGGTGTCCGACCCAGCACCCACAAGGAGGGAGGCTGCTGGGCAGAGGCGACAGGAAGCGCCCCCTGCCCTCACTCCTGCTCAGTGCTGACGGACCCCCTTCCATGGCTGCTCGGGGCTGCTCCTGCACAGGCCTCGGAGGGCCAAGACCTTCTTGGGGGACCCAGGGGGACCCAGGGGCAGAGCCCCAGGTCTACTCCCACCAGCATGCCCAAGAGTCACATCTGTGCTGGAGGGGACCTGTATTGGCATGTGCTTGGGGGAGAAAGGGTCTTGAGTGTCCTCAGGGTCACATGGGGGTGGGGCCAAGAGTCCTCTGTGACCATCAGGTGAAACAGTGACCTTGTGATGCGTGACTGAGCCCGGAGCCCTGACACAGCCTCAGCTTCGGTCTCACTGACCCAACCCCGGCCACAGGCTGAGCTCTGACGGCACGGCCACCCGAGGCGGGGTGATGGGGTGGAAAGAGTCCTTGCAGCATGAGTGGGTAGGCGATGAACGGAGGGGTCATGAGTGATGGGGAGGGAGCTCAGGGGCCCAGGCCTGTGGTTCTGAAAGGACAGCTCCCTGGGTCTTGAGCCAACAGGAAGTGGCCAATGTTTGGCTTCTTTCTCCTTTAAATACTTCAGGGTTCTGTAGGGGGCACAAGTCAGAGTGGGCACGACCTTCAGAGGTCGCCTGCTCCTTCTCAGTTGAAAATGGGGGCAGCCGAGGCCTGGGATGGGGACGGTAGTGCAGGCCAGACACCCCCGGCCCGCCTTTGCTCCTGCTCTGCCAGTGAGGAGGGCGGAGGGGCAGGCTGACCTCCAGAGGAGGTCCCTCCAGGGCCCCCATGCCCACCACACACCGCACCTGGGCTCACACCCACCTCAGCCACAAAGGCTCTGAGAAGTCCTGCAGCTGCCGCCCCACCCTGTTCCACTTGGTGGGGGTCCCCGACGGGGGTGGGGGCTCCCAGCATCCTTGGACTCCAAATCTGGGACGAGCTGGCAGACGATGCAGTGTGGGAAGAGTGACGTCCCTGTGGCATACTCTGTGGACCTTGTCCCGAGGCCTGACCCCCACTGGCACCTTTGGCCCTGCCTGCTTTGCACACAGGAGCCCTCTCTCCGGGCCGAGGAGCTAAGGACCCAGCCAGCTCACGGTTGCCCTGTGGGTTGTCCTGGCCTGCGCACTGTCCCCGCCCTGAGGGCCGGAAGCGGTCCTACGAGCTGGGTGCAGGCGTGCTGGGGGACGCAGGCCCTGCCCCTCCCTGGGCCCCTGCCAAGTGCCTGTCCTGGTCCCTTTAAGAGCCTTGCCCCCCATCCGTGGTCTCCTTGGAGAGGACAGTGAGGGGCCGGCCAAGCCGGGTGAGCGGAAGGGAGACTTGGCAGGTGCCCATGTCTCTGTCGGCAGCCGGTTCCCAGCCCGACTTCTCCCACGCCAGCTGGTTCCTGGTGGAGGCAGGGACCTGGAAGGGGACAGCCGGACACCAGGGCCTCTTCGGCGCGTGGGGGTCGGTCTTCTCCAGGCTCACCCACCCACCTCAGCCTCCGCCCTCCTCTCACTGCCCCTGCTGTGTCCTCGGGGACTGGCCAGGCCTGCTGGGGGCCCACCCTCCTCCCGGGGCTTCTGAGCCGGGGGCGTCTCCCTGTGGGGTTTGGGAACTGGAGGGGCCAGACCAGTCTGGACGCACCGCACAGCCCCTCTGCGCTCTGTCTCTGGGGAGGGGCGAGGGGCTCCCCCTGCCCGGCCCCCGGCCCCTCCTCCAGGCCAGCGGGACCGCTCAGGCCTGTCCAGTGCCCTCCTCTTCTCTGTCCCCACGGACCGCCACATGGGAGGCCTGCCTGCCCTTTCCTGGCATCCGCACCCCTGTTCAGTGCTCCGTCGGACCCCAGCTTGCGGAAAGTCACACATCCGTGTGTGTGTCTGCATCCTGTCTGCCCTCCCCCCCCCAGCAGGATGGGAACCCCCAGGGCAGGGCCTGGCTCTTGTGCCCCAGGAAGTGCCCACCTAAGGGAGTCCAGGCTCTGCCCACACTGGCTGTGGGATCCCTGGCCTCAGTTTTCTCCACAGTGAGGGAGCAAGATCAGTGCCCACCCTGGACCCCACCCAGCCACTGCCAGGGGGACGGGACTGGGGAGACTTGTCTGGAGAGGGGCGGAGTCCCGGGCCCCCCTGGGCTGCTCCCAGCAGTCTGGTCCCTCAGCCCTTCCATCCCTGTGCCCCCCGCCCACGTCTGGGGGCTTCTGTGGGCGGGTGGGCCTGTGCAGAGCTCACTGGGCCGTGCCCAGGGGGAGGGTGGGAGGGCTCGGCCAGTGCCACTTCGGTGCAGGAAGGATGGATGTAGGGACAGAGCAGGAGGCACTTGGGCTTGAACCTGGGTGGCACACAGAGATGCTTCAGTGCACTGCTGGCGGGGGTTTTGTCCATCTGTCCATCCGTCCGCCCATTTGCAATGTGCCCAAGTTCTGTGTGTTCGTAGCAAAGCTCCACATGGTTGAGCCCTTCCAGGAGCAGGGTCCAGGGTGGGGGCCGCCTCCTGGCCTCCGCCGGGTGCACCTGTCCCTGCGGACCTGGGTCCTGCCCCCCAGTGACTGTGAAGAGGCGGTGGGCTGCGGGCATGCGCTGGCCCTCCCCACTGCCTTCCCTCTGCCAGGTGTGCAGTGACTGGTCCGGCGTGGTAGAGGGTCTTCAGGACCCCAACACCTCACGTCTCAGTGGCCAGTGCAGTTGCTGGCAGTACTGGGAGGGCTGTTACCGACCTTCCTCAACTCCGAGGGGAGCCGACTTGGGGTGCGGAGGGCGAGCCGGGGGGCAGACGCAGGAAGGACTTCCGGGTTGGGAGCAAGCACAGGGGACCGTCAAGTCCCGTGCCCTTTCTCGGCCGTGGTGCAGGGGCACCAGAAGCCGAGGCTGGGGGAGTGGCCTTGAGGTCACCTGGGTGACTGGGCCTTTGGAAGTCAGGTGACCTAGGAGATGCCTGGGGACAG